ACATAGGTTCAAGCTCTCCTTTAGTGAGTACAAGTGAATGATTTAGTACAAATGACATTAGGAAATATTGTGGGAGAATGATCTCGTAACCACGAAACTTCTAAGTACCGGAGTGTGGTATCGTCTTGACTTTCCTTATCTGTCTCATAGGTAGATGTGGCATCTTCTCTGGAAGTACTCTTCCTCCATCCATGGGTGGTATCTGTAACTGGTGGAGATGCACAAGGTAATGTATCAATTTCACTTGAAGCTTACTTGAAGTTTCAGGCTTGGTCAAGCGCGATACAAACCATGTAGTAGGAGTCCCCCAAGTCGCCGGGCTAGGGGATCTGCTGAAAGAGGTGACAGACAAGGTAAGCAATCAGAGCTCCGGCTGATTGTTCACATTCTCCCTATCTTGCAGGCAGCATGAAGGATAAAGAGAAGAAAAATGAGAAGAGATGATATGGGATACTTTTGCTTTTGAAGAAGTAACTTTCCACAGGCTTATTCTTGAACCGGGCTGGAGGGTTTTCTGGTTTCCTCCAGAGTATAAGGCCGACTGAAGAATTTGAGGGTCAAAACAAGTCCATCAAATCTAGAGTACGTTCGACCCTGCTGATATGGGATACTTTTGTTTTTGATAGAGTAGTGGATGTATCGGCACGTGTGCTGTTACGCTTGTCTCCACATGCTTCCTTGTATCCTTCTCACTTGCTCTATCTGTTCCTCAGGCAGATGCGGTATCTTCCCTGGAAGCATAAGATGTTGAAGATGAGTACTCGAGAGCAATGCCAGGTAAGTAATCAGGTAAGGGGTTCTAGGCAGTCAGTTCCTGGCTGGAAGCTTGATTCCAAGTGCTGACTGATTGCTCTCTTTCTCCTTGTCTTGCAGGTAAGAACAAGGCCAAAGGAAAAGACAGGGAAAAAGCATGATATGGGATACTCTTGCTTTTAACCCTGATGATATGAGATATTCTTGCTCTAGTATAGCTTGTTTACAGAGGTATTATCGGGGGGAAAGAAAGCTGAATATTTCGAAAAGCTTCGTTGGGAGTGCCCTCTCAGATAAGAGAAAGGGTTGAGCATTTTTGCAGGTCTGCCTGTCCGTTAGGGATGGAGGTCGACATATATAGGAGTCTCCCTAACATCAAGTAATAATGCTATTCCTTTACCCTGCTTGGTCATAACACGGTAGTGGGAGCTGCCAGCTTCACATGTTTTAACTCTGTCAGAGCACTTTGAAAAAGTGGTATGTGGTATCTGGAAAGTTGATGTTGCGTGTGAAGATTACAGACAAGCTTTATCCAATGAGGTCCAGCTCTTGAAGTTGGGAAAGTGGTGCCTCTTCGGTTTTCGAACAAGCAATCCTGTCGGGGATCTGGCTCTCGAGATTCGGAGAACGATGCCTCTTCGATTTTTGAGAAAGCAATCCTGTTGGGGGTCTGGCTCTCGAGATTCGGAGAGCGGTGTCTCTTCAATTTTTGAGAAAGTAATCATGTTGGGAGTCTGGCTCTCGAGATTCGGAGGGCGGTGCCTCTTCGATTTTGGAGCAAGCAATCTTGTTGGGAGTGTTTTCTCAAATGTGAGTAAAGGTTGGGCATGTTTGCTAGTCTACCTTGCCACGAAGCACAGAGGTTGACACACATGGACTTTCCAATTATCCAGCAGTGGTACTGTTCCTTTACCCTCTCTTCGATTTTTGAGAAAGTAATCATGTTGGGAGTCTGGCTCTCGAGATTCGGAGGGCGGTGCCTCTTCGATTTTGGAGCAAGTAATCTTGTTGGGAGTGTTTTCTCGAATGTGAGTAAAGGTTGGGCATGTTTGCTAGTCTACCTTGCCACGAAGCACAAAGGTTGACACACAGGGACTTTCCAATTATCCAGCAGTGGTACTGTTCCTTTACCCTCTCTTCGATTTTTGAGAAAGTAATCATGTTGGGAGTCTGGCTCTCGAGATTCGGAGGGCGGTGCCTCTTCGATTTTGGAGCAAGCAATCCTGTTGGGAGTGTTTTCTCGAATGTGAGTAAAGGTTGGGCATGTTTGCTAGTCTACCTTGCCACGAAGCACAGAGGTTGACACGCCGGGACTTTCCAATTATCCAGCAGTGGTACTGTTCCTTTACCCTTGTGGGTAATAATATGGTAGCTAGACCTTCAAAATTTATGTGTCTAAACTTTGTTAGTGTTGTTTCTTTGCAATTCTTTTATCCTTCTTGGTCAGAGCGATGTAGCGGGAGCTGCAAGCTTCACGTGTCTCAACTTTGTCAGAGAACTTTGGCAAAGTTATCTGTGGTACCCATGAGTTACTGTTGCGTGTGGGAAGTGAGTGATTGAACAGTACGATTCATGTGCTTTCTACTTCGCCAGAAATCTTCGACAGAATGCCCATAATTTCCGCAAAGCTGAGTGTGCGTGTGACAGGTGCTGACAAGGCTGGAAAAGTAGGTGCCTCTTCGATTTCTGAGATCGGCCCTTGTGGTCTCTGAGCAGCCCAGCTTTTGAGAAAGCAAGCCTCTTCGATTTCTGAGATCGGCCTTCGTGGTCTTTGAGCAGCCCAGCTTTTGAGAAAGCAAACGCCTCTTCGATTTCTGAGATCGACCCTCGTGGTCTCTGAGCAGCCCAGCTTTTGAGAAAGCAAACGCCTCTTCAATTTCTGAGCAGGCGCCTCTTCGATTTCTGAAGCTTCGTCGAGTGCAGATTTTTATAGGGGCTGACATTAAGTTCCAAAGCACACTTGAATATCCACCAGTAGAAGCTCCATTCTTGCACTTCTAAGATCTTGATTTGTCCGACCTTTTCTCTCTTCAACACCTTTGAAAATGTCTGGCCCCTCCGACCGTCGTTTTGACTTGAACCTTGTTGAAGAGGCAGCCCCGCCTTCTCCAGACAACATATGGCGCACATCCTTCGTCTCCCCTACTGGTCATCTTACCGTTGGGGATTCCGTGATGAAGAATGATATGACCGCTGCGGTAGTGGCCAGGAACCTTCTCACTCCCAAAGATAACAGACTACTTTCCAAACAGTCTGATGAGTTGGCTGTTAAGGATTCTCTGGCTCTCAGTGTTCAGTGTGCATGTTCTATGTCTAATATGGCCCAATGCCTATTTGCTCGAACCCGCCAAGTTGAATCATTGGCGTCTGAAGTGATGAGTCTCAAACAGGAGATTAGAGGGCTCAAGCATGAGAATAAACAGTTGCACCGGCTCGCACATGACTATGCTATAAACATGAAGAGGAAGCTTGACCAGATGAAGGAATCTGATGGTCAGGTTTTACTTGATCATCAGAGATTTGTGGGTTTGTTCCAAAGGCATTTATTGCCTTCGTCTTCTGGGGCTGTACCGCGTAATGAAGCTCCAAATGATCAACCTCTGATGCCTCTTCCTTCTAGGGTTTTGTCTAGTACTGAGGCTTCGAATGATCCCCCTCCGGTGCCTTCTCTTTCTGGGGCTCTACCGACTGCTGAGACTTCTCCTAAGCCACCTTTGTGAAGGCTCCCTCTTGTTTGTTTATTTTGACTCAAGTATATGTACATATTTGTAATTTATCGGGGATATCAATAAATAAGCTTTCTTTCATTTCAACGTATTGTGTTAAATACACCAAAGCCTTCTTCGCTAAGTTCTTTGAATTTTCTTTTGTTGAAGCTTGTATGTTGAAGCTTTGTGAATGGAGCATGTAGGTTGAGGTAGTGTTCCCTTAATTTCCCGAGTGAGGAAAACTTCTCGGTTGGAGACTTGAAAAATCCAAGTCACTGAGTGTGATCGGCAATATGAATCTTAGAACGCCATTGTGTTCTGTCCTGTGTCATGTCCTCCGTTAGATCCAAGTACTCTAAGTCTTTTCTTAGGGTATCTTCCAAAGTTTTCCTAGATCTTCCTCTACCCCTTTGGCCCTAAACCTCTGTCCCATAGTCGCATCTTCTAATCGGAGTGTCAGTAGGCCTTCTTTGCACATGTCCAAACCACCGTAACCGATTTTCTCTCATCTTTCCTTCAATTTCGGCTACTCCTACTTTACCCCGGATATCCTCATTCCTAATCTTATCCTTTCTCGTGTGCCCACACATCCAACGAAGCATCCTCATCTCCGCTACACCCATTTTGTGTACGTGTTGATGCTTTATCGCCCAACATTCTGTGCCATACAGCATCGCCGGCCTTATTGCCGTCCTATAAAATTTTCCCTTGAGCTTCAGTGGCATACGGCGGTCACACAACACGCCGGATGCACTCTTCCACTTCATCCATCCAGCTTGTATTATATGGTTGAGATCTCCATCTAATTCTCTGTTCTTTTGCAAGATAGATCCTAGGTAATGAAAACGGTCGCTCTTTGGTATTTCTTGATCTCCGATCCTCACCCCTAACTCGTTTTGGCATCCATTTGCACTGAACTTGCATTCCATATATTCTGTCTTTGATCGGCTTAGGCGAAGACCTTTAGATTCCAACACTTCTCTCCAAAGGTTAAGCTTTGCATTTACCCCTTCCTGAGTTTCATCTATCAACACTATATCGTCTGCGAAAAGCATACACCAAGGAATATCATCTTGAATATGTCCTGTTAACTCATCCATTACCAACGCAAAAAGGTAAGGACTTAAGGATGAGCCTTGATGTAATCCTACAGTTATGGGAAAGCTTTCGGTTTGTCCTTCATGAGTTCTTACGGCAGTCTTTGCTCCTTCATACATATCCTGTATAGCTTGGATATATGCTACTCGTACTCCTTTCTTCTCTAAAATCCTCCAAAGAATGTCTCTTGGGACCCTATCATACGCTTTTTCCAAATCTATAAAGACTATGTGTAAATCCTTTTTCCCATCTCTCTATATCTTTCCATCAATCTTCGTAAGAGATAGATTGCCTCCATGGTTGAGCGCCCTGGCATGAACCCGAATTGGTTGTCCGAAACCCGTGTCTCTTGCCTCAATCTATGCTCAATGACTCTCTCCCAGAGCTTCATTGTATGACTCATTAGCTTAATACCCTTAGGGTGCGTTTGTTTGCACTCACTAACTTTCACTAGATTGGACTGGACTAAGGGGTAGTCTAGTCCTGTGTTTGATACAAACCGGGACAAGCTTTAATGAGACTCGTCCCGACTAAATGGGACTAGGCACTTCGCTAAAGGGTCTTAGCGAAACCCCCCAAAATCTGCCGGACTGCTAAGCCAACTCCTCCCTGCTTCGTCCCTCCTCGCTTCGCCCCTCCCATCTACTTGTCCCTCACAAGATTCGGAACCCAGGTCCAATATATAAACTATGCCCCTGCTTCGCCCCTTTCATCTACCATTTCCAAATCCAGATCCTGCAAAATTCGAAGCAAAATAGGCAAAAAATTCTGCAATATTTCCACTTTCAAAACCAGATCAAAATCCAAAATTCTAAACAAAAAAAGCCAAATTTTTTTTTTTTTTACAAAAATCTTTGTGCGTCTGAAACGCACAGCAATCACTCTAATCACACTGCACCTAGTCCAGACTCCCTGATCGCAGACCTTCACCATTGACGCCGGAGAAGCAGACCCATGAATACCCAGATGACTTAGACTTTGATTTGGGTTTTGATTCGCCAATTGCTTCCCAGAAAAATTAGGAAGAAAAGAGGAAGATGAACGGAAAGAAATACGAAGAAAAAGATGGAGATGAAGCGAGTGATAAAAATTTGGAAGAATCAGAGGGAGAGGGACGGAGCAAAATAAGGAAGAAAAGGGGGGATTAGCGGAAAAGAATTGGGAGTAAAGATGGGAGGTTTCTAGAATGAAAAAGCCAGACAGTAGTAAGAATAAAATAATACTAAATATGTATTAAATAATATAAAATATTAATAAATATGAATTAAATAATATGATATTAGAATTTGTTATTATCCAGCTTTTTAGTCCGACACTGCACCAAACGCTTTACTAAGTTAGTCCAGCTTAATCTAGTCTAAGCCAGTCCTGGTTAGTCCCTAAAGCTAATCCAGTCCGAGATAGTCCGGTACAACAAACGCACCCTTATAGTTCATGCAATTTTGTACATCGCCCTTATTCTTGTAGATAGGCACCAAAGTGCTCGTTCGCCACTCATTTGACATTTTCTTCGTTTTCAAAATCCTATTGAAAAGGTCAGTGAGCCATGTTATACCTGTCTCTCCCAAAACTTTCCACACTTCGATTGGTATATCGTCTGGGCCTACTGCTTTTCTATGCTTCATCTTCTTCAAAGCTACAACCACTTCTTCCTTCCGGATTCTACGATAAAAAGAGTAGTTTCTACACTCTTCTGAGTTACAATCGAATGAGTGGTTAAACGTTTAAGTTTTCGCATTACCCATTACCACTCCTTCCACACTTTATAAATGCTTTGCAGACGCAGCTGCTGAATCTGGAATTATGGAAGAGCTTGACCTTACTCTTGCAGCAGTAAGTACCATAATACTTCTCGAAAGGCTATCGTCTAATGTTAACTCTTTATTTCTGCTCATGTGCGTGTGCACATGAGCAGTCATGTTTTTTCTTAAAAGAAGAGTTCTGTTATGGGATCTACAAACATCGATACCAATTTGCTTGCTTAAGAAACGTTTTGGTTCTGTGGAATGCATGATAAAAGGGTTATTAGTTATACATAAATAACTTCCTTCTTGATCAATTTACTTTTTCTATGTACTCCTTTTGTATATATCAAGTAGGCTATATTCTCTTCGGTTTTTCAGTTCTCTGCATTCGGTAAACTTTCTTCTCTTTCCACAGTACACAGTTGTTGGTTCAATAATGACAATCGAAGGAGTGGTTAAACGTTTAAGTTTTCGCATTACCCATTACCTGTCGGCCTAGTTCAGATGCTTGACTATCTAAAACTTTTTTCATTCTTTTCATGTTGATATCTTGAAACAGAGAATATGGCTATCTGAAATATTTTGTTTTGTGTGTTTTGCTTTTCTAAATATTTTGGTCAATCAATTGTTGTGTTTCAAGATAAGTAAGTTGGTGTCTCTATGAATAGTACTAGCGGTTTGATTGGTTTCCTAATCGTTTGGTCCAATGGCGTATGATTTATTTGCAGGTGGGATATTCCTCACCATCTCGGTCTGGGGTCATGAATGATTTGGGCCTCACTGTAGCTCAGGTTTGCATAGTTTCTTTTTCTCAAATATGTATCGAGCATGTATGTGTGGATGTGTGTGGATGTACGCGTCTTATGGTCGTTGTCTATTTTGCAGTACTCAGTTTTTGGTTCAATATTGACAACCGGAGCAATGATAGGAGCAATAGTGAGTGGGAGAATAGCAGATTACTTTGGTAGAAGAGGAGTAAGTTTCTTCCTTCCTTTACACTTTTTAAAATTTCAAGAAATGTTCTAATATTTGGTGAAGCAGGCAATGGCGTCTTCCGAGATATTCTGCATTTTGGGATGGCTTGCCATAGCTTTTTCTAAGGTTTTGCATCCTTTCTCTCTTTTCTTGTTCTTTATATTTGAAAGAGTCAAATTATTGGTTTTGGCTCATGTTTTGAACTTTCCTTCTTCTTGAAAGGTTGCTTGGTGGGCAGAACTTGGAAGACTGTTGGTCGGATGTGGAATGGGGATTCTTTCTTATGTGGTAACTTTTTTGAGGATTTCAATTGCATGCAGTTCGTATAAGATTTTTATTAAAGTTTCGCCTAAAAGTGTGTTTATTTCGATAACAAACAGGTGCCTATATACATAGCAGAATAACACTGAAAATCTGCGGGGAGGATTTACAACAGTCCATCAGGTAAAGCTCAAAAGTTTGGAAACTATTAGACGCCCATTGCTTATTCTCCTGCTCACAATTTACCACTGATTTGGTAGTTGATGATATGTTGTGGTGTCGCTAACATATGGTGTCGGGGCTTTTCTGAACTGGCGAGCTTTGGCTCCTCTTGGTAACTTTCAGTTCCTCTATGTTGTGATGTATAATTACTAGAAAAAGGTACATTGCAGTGAAACCCAAAAAAAAATCTGAGACAAACATAATATGGAGTATTTGACTGCGGTTTCTTTCGTCTAAATTTCAGGAACTGTTCCTTGTGTTATACAAATTTTAGGTCTTCTTTTCATCCCACAGTCTCCTAGATTGTTGTGAGTCATGATTTCCATTGTATCTTACGGTTTTTACAATAATGTTTATATTTGTCCTTTGGGAAACACATGTATCATTTTATTTTGAGACGAGATGAAAAAATTAATGAGCCTTTGGCATGCTATTAGGCAAAAATTGGTAAAAGGAAAGAGTGTGAAGCCTCTCTTCAGCACCTAACGGGGGGAGAGTGCCGATACTTCAAGAAATCGCTGAGTAAGTTTTGAGTTACAATTCTCTTTTGTTTCTTATTTAACAAGAAACAAAACATATATTTCGAGGAGTCCTATCTATATTGTCAAGACAAAAAAGGACTGATATATGTTTGCTTTCTCTTATAGGGTTATACAGAAACTCTGCAGCGGCTTTCTGAAGTGAGATTTTTCACTTATTTCAAAGGAGATACGTTCCCTCGTTGTGAGTTCTTAAGTCAACCCCCTTTGTGACATCCTTTATGTTTTTATCGATCTTTTACAATTCTTAATTGCAATAGGTAGGAGTAGGGCTTATGGCACTGCAACAATTCGGAGGGGTCAAGGGCATTGTCTTCTATGCAAGTACTATATTCATTTCAGCTGGTACGTGAATAGGCCTTCTTTTTGAACTTCTTTCGTGTATCTAATAATTTCCAAAAGAAAGCAAATAATAATATAAATAAATCTGTTTTTATGATAGTATCAGGACTATATCTATATGGTTGCAGTTCAGGTGCTTCATTATCCAAGTGCAGTTCCATTTTTGGTTTCCGATTGTTCATTGTAATTGTAATTGGCCTTCTGCAGATTCCAATGAGTCAATGACGGCATTCGGAGTAATTTTGATGGACAAATCTGGACGGAGTCCTCTTCTTCTGGTAAGAACTAAAAAGATTGAGAATTCTGGTCTAAGAAGTGATGGGATTAAATGCGAATTGAGTGATGAATTCTGAGAAATGGAATTTTTACAGGTTCCTTCAGCAGGAACATGCTTACGTTGCCTCCTCATGGGGTTGTCATTTGTGTTGCAGGTGCCCTCTGGAGCCCAAATCTACCCCTCTTTCAATTTCTTATTGTGATTTTTAGTTGTCTCTTGAGAGAATGAAGTATATCATGTGTAGAACCTTCAACAATGGAAGCAGATTACTCCCATTTTGGCACTTGTAGGCGTTTTGGTAAGTCCGACTTAACTTGAATCTCAAAACTTGGTTTTCTTTCTTTCTGATATATGCCAATAGACTCGAAGTATACATTGCTCAACCTATTTGGAACCTACAATCAGGTATTGACCGGATCGTTCTCATTGGGAATGGGAGGACTTCCTTGGGTTATAGTGTCAGAGGTAGGTTACACTTAACAAGCATGACATCCACAATATCGACAGAAATGTTCAAAATTCAAGTTCAGTCACTGCAGATATTTGTTATACTCTGAATTTCTAACTAATTTAGCCTAATTTTGATTTCAGATATTTCCCATAAAACATGAAGGGATCAGCCGGAAGCCTAGTAACATTGGTTACCTGGTTAGGTTAGGTTCTTGGATCAACTCATACGTCCTAATTGATTGGAACTCCGCGGGTGATGCCACAAAATTATCGGTTCCTATTTCTGTTTGGATTTGAGTAAGACTCACTCTTACACATTCGATCTTATTTTTCTCTTTCAGGAACTTTCTTCTTGTTTTCAAGCTTATCTGCTGTAACCATTTTTGTCAAAGCTGGAACCAGAGAAGAAATTCAAACATCAATGAATCGGTTTTCAGCAAATAGATAAAAAGTGCGCCTGCACTGTGACATTGTCATCCATTTTCAGATGGCGTCTTATCGATGATTGATTGCACATTGCAGCATTGCAGAATGAAGCGTGTTCTGAATGTCAGCAAAACTTTGCAATTCAAGGTTTCATTGTAGCTCTGATCCTGAGAAAAATACTAATTACCACACAACTTCATTTTCTTTGTTGTAAACCTGTTGGTGATCAGTACCTTAGAACAATGGAGTATATGTTCGTTGGTCCATTGTTATAGAGACCAAACGCTGCATGTATCACACGATGGTGAAGCATCTCCTAAATGTTTGATGTTGGATTTCTAACTCCTAATGATTAGCAATAATATGTATTCATCCGTAGTCGAGATTGGAGTTAGTGACTTGAGGAAGAGTTGGATTGAGGAGGCCTAGTCGGATTTATGTTGAATTGTTCATTAAACTAAATGGAAGTGGAACAGAAATGTTTTTCGTTACTTCAAGTTTGAGAGAAATGACCTACAAAATCATCACTAATTAAAAGTTTAATGCATAGTGCACAACTCTTGAAAGATAAGTAACTAACAATTGCCAAGATTTCAAGGTTGGGTCAACAGTTACTACTAATCATATTGATATTATTTCAAATTAACCACTTGCACAACTATGCATTTGTTGGGTTGTTAGAAGTGAAACCATTCAATATAAGTTGTAATTTATTCTTTCAAGCTTCCGATGTGGAATTGCATTCTTCAACAGCCAGCAGTGAGTTAAATTTTTTGTCATGTTAGGTAACTGGCTAACATATGGTTGCATAAATCAGGTCATTGTGTTTCGTATGGCCTTGAAATTAGACCACTGTTGGTGTCCCTGACGCTATCCGTCTCTCAAAACACAATCCACATGATTTACGTACATCACTATTCTGAGGTAAGCGACCTAAACTCCAATGTCCTCATTTTCTATAAAGCATCGCCTTTTATCAGCTCCAACATAAAGCAAATTAATATAACCGAACTCCCTTCTTCTTTCTCTCCATGGCTGAGGTACAATCTTCCGAGCAACCACGCACACCGCCTTCCCCTCCCATGATTGTCAAGCACAGGTCGAACCAACCTGTCCACCAAACCCTAGCGAGTGCGGCCAATCTCGCTAACCTTTTACCAACTGGCACAGTGCTAGCATTTCACACCCTCATCCCTACTTTCTCCAACAATGGTTCTTGCCAACTTTTCAATAAGTAGCTCACAACATGTGTCATTACATTTGGTGCTCTCCCATGTTTCTTATCTTCGTTTACTGATAGCTTCATGGACAATGACCGAAAACTCTACTATGGAATCTCTACGTTCTAGGGCATGTACATTTTCAACTGCAGTAACGCCGAGGACATGGATAGGAACTTGAAGAAGTAAAAAATAAAGTTCATAGATTTTGTTCACGCCTTTTTGTCACTATTTGTGTTCTTGCTCTTTGCTCTTAGCAACTCCGATGTCCAAAGCTGCTTCTTTCCTGAAGTGGGAATAAGTGAACGGACAATGAATTTGCGATTCGGAGCTGAGACTTTGTTGAGCTCCACTTTAATGGAAGGAGAGACCTTGCATGGGTTTTATGGTGGAATCTCAACTTTCTTCATGGTTTCAGAGCAGGTTGTCTCACGTGTGAAGCCAAACGGCCACACGTGCTCCACGTCACCTATGGTATCAAAGCAGATTGTCTCACATGTGATTTTGATAATGAATTTCACATTAATGGAAGGAGGGACCTTGCATGAGTTTATAAGTAAGTTGGACTATTTCCTATATTGCCAATTAGTTTTATGGTGAAACATCAACTTTCTTTAATGTTTACTCATTAATAGCATCTCAAACTGACTTGTCAAAGTGAACATAAGATGACAAAGATAGCATCTCAAGCCAACTTTCCATGTAATGATGGTCTTCCTTGCCCCCCTTAGGTCCTAATCTGGTAGTTTGAGGGGTGACGCTTTTAGTATTAAACGAGCAGGAATGCCTGCACCTTGCTGCGGGTCTTCAAACCATGAATAATATTCATAGAAAAATTAATTGAAAATGCTACGGCAATACAATTGCATTCATAAATGTAGCAAGTCAGGGAACACATGTTTTACATGAGTAACGCTTACAAAACCACATATTTACACAATTATCTCCAAACGAAAGAAAAAGCAAAAAATTGGTGAATTGTTCCATACAATAGGAAATTTAATTTACATTGCTACTCTATTAAGCCAACATCGAGAATCAATATACAATCAAAATTACTTGAACGAAAGTTTACATTGACAAAAGTTGCAAGGACAAAATATAGTGTCTTTGCATACCATGCAGTTTGCAACATGACAAAATACATGTTCTGCAAGGTTTTCTATCGTTCCAACAGTTGCAAAACATAATAGACATGTTCTTATGGTATGTACATTAGGTGACTTTAATTAGCAGTGGAATGCGCAAAAAATATATGTCTATAGTAGTGGGATGCCCAAGAAATATATATCTTTGATCATTTGCAGTAGTGCATCATGACACCTTCTATAGCTTATTTCTTTTGCGAATGAACATCTCCAACACTGAGCAGCAAAATAGAACAAAAATTAAATAATTGTCCAAGTTGGCATATATTATTGTAAACAATATGTCATTATACCTGTCATTGATTTTCTTTGTTTGTGATCTACTTCTTAATGCACTAATCGGACTTTTGTCTGTAGGTTCAACTTTTGGGACAACCAAGTTAGAGATTTCCGCTGAGATTCTGGTTGAATTAGTAGACAATGGTTGGCTCCCCTCATCATGTTTGCTGTGAAAACATATCAAATTTAAAAAGGATAGAAATGAACATTATAAAGTGCATGCATGATGTTTTTGTTTAATGAAATACCAACATTACTTGAAAGGGAAAAATTAACCTTTGAGCTTTTGAAGGTGCATTTTCAACAAATAGTGTTCTTTTTACACCCTTGTTTGTTGCAACTAATTGGATTTGTTGAGTCTGGGATTCGAGGGTCATAAAAGAGAGAGGGGATGCTGCATCAATAACTTGTTTTCTAGTGTTCCTAGTAGGTGTACGCAGTACAATTGAACTAAGTTTTGGGTCAACTGATGTTTGTTCCTCAATTACTCCATGAACAACAAAGTCGGTGTTGCCAAACTCATTGTTTTGATTACCAAAACGGAGCTGAAATTTGTTCATGCTACCAACCAATTTTTGGAGGTGCGGTGACAACACAGAAGAGTCATCATAGCTTTCTTCTATGACCAAGGAGTGGCAAGAAATACCCAAAAGTTTTTCAGCAGTCCTTCCAATCACTAAGAAGTTGAATTGATTTATGGCATCATCCACAATAAAATTCATCTTAAACCTAAATAAAAGACGAAAATATTATGACGTGAGTTTAGCAGTTTAAAAAAAAACTGCAATAAAAACCATATTGATTGCAAAGAGATATAAACAACGCAGAAAGAATAAATTAGGAAATTACCATGGTTCAGACATTTTTTTGAGCGGCCCATGCTCAAAGCATTGAAAGGTTGCATATGTTATTTTCACACTTTTGTGGCAATACAGGCACGACTTGTACCACCATCCCTTGGTTAGATCGTAACCGACAATTGTTGCTTGACATATGAAACTTGTATTCTTATATGATTTAAAATTTTCAAATACAAGTAACATTTAAGAACAAACTCGCAAACATGACACTTGCACCCTAGAAAATGCATTTCTACCCAAATTATAAAACAGAATACAGATTTTGGACATGAAATGACATTTGGAAAATGTATATTGAATCATGAAATATAAATTGTTTAATTTTTTGTGCTGAAGCTTATAAATGAAGAAACAAACAAACAACATAACACTTTGTATGCACAATATAGTATTAACTAAGAAACAATATGTCATTTCCAAATCACAACAATCAATCAATTCCAAAGCAATTGCATAATACAATTGACAAAATATGAGATAATTTATTGATTGTGGATTGACCTTGTTTAATGCTGGATCAAGAAGAAGCAATTCTTCAATTGTCTTTTGTTCTGAATCAACATTAGCAGTAGTTTTTCCATACTTTTCAACAGAAGTCAGTAGAATTTCAATGGGTGTTTTGAGGTATTCAAATCTGATTTTCACATTTTTAAGTCCAAGAATATAGACGATAAAAATAAAAACGAAAATAAATATTAAGTAAGATTTGTTCACTCACTTTTGTTTATATTCTGAAAGTAGTGGAATATCAGGATTGAAAATACAAACTGTTGAGCTTGTGCTCCCCAGAACGGGTTTTCCTATAAATATAAAGAAAACAATTATAAATACAAAAGTAAAGTGATAACATATAAGAAAACAATTATAAATACAAAAGTAAAGCGATAACATATAGACTTTGTTAAGGTATAACCTCTGTATTTCTTCACTTTGAGTGAAGTCAAAACAACGAAGACAAGAGGTGAAAGCGACTGTAATGCATCCTCTTGAAAGCTTGTTGTAGTTTTTGCCCATAGGGTAACTGTAACTTGTTCACCTCTACAATTGTAAAATGGAGTCAGAACTGTTTATGTAATTTTTATATGGCTATATATGTATAAATATGCAATCACAGTTTAAGAGAAGTATGGTTTACCTAGTATTTTGAAGTTGGAGGTTTCACTTTTTTTTCAACTCTGATGTTTTGCACAGTGATGTCCTCAATTGGTTGTAAAGCCATCAGATAACCAAAAACATCTAAATATGATATAGTTATCATAACAGGCTAATTAAGTTAAAAACTAAGACTAATGATTTTTAAAATAGTGGCTATTGTCAAAATTAGACACTTTACCTGTAAGGTTTACATCTTTATCGACTCTCTTGTCAAGCTCATCAAATTCAATTAAATTAAACCAATGCATCGAGATCACTTGATTTGGTTTCTCAACAGGGACTATGGTAGTGTTTTTGTTCAACTCAAGCATAGCATCATGAGGGACAATTTTGCTTGACGTTCTGTTGCGGATAACACGAAATTTATCTACCTCATACACGAACCCAACTTTTAGACGCTCCAAAAAGAATTGGATGTCCCAAGGTTTCATGGTTGCATGAATTGAATGTCCCTTTTAGAGGGGAAACACAAAATTAGATAAATCTTTAAGGGAGCAAAAAATGCATTAAATCACATAGCAAAATATGTATAAAATATCTTTTGTATGCCTATAGTATAGAGCAACATATGCATAAAAGCAAATCATACAAAGTAACAAAGTTAG